CAAAATGGATGCAAAAAATCCATGATGAGCAAAATATCAAAAACTCAAACTCAAATATAGGATTTGACTCTTCCAATCAGTGATTCATCATCACCTCACCTTACCCTAATACTGGCTGTGCTGACATCTATAGCTCTAGGAAGGCCAGGTGGCCAGATGAAGCCAGAAGACATAAACAACATAAGGTCAAGGTGAAAACCTTGGGGTTGTGAATTATGTAATTTCAGTCTTGAATTTTGCCTTTAAGTAAGTTACTAATCTACTAAGCTTCAGTTTCTTCATATGTATTAGGGATCTGATAATAATCCCCCACATGTAAACCAAGTGCTTATGCCCAAGCCATAGAGGCACATGCAGGTTTTGTGGAGCCCGAAGCTCATATAATTTGGGACAAAATTAAAAATTAAAACTACAAATTGACATGGAAATGAATCTTGTTTTTAAAATGGAGGCACTGGGGTTTGAACTCAGGGCCTCATGCTTGTTAGGCAGGTGCTCTACCACTTGAGACACAATAGTAGAGAATATCAGCAATGAGAAAATAATGATAAATAATGGGTTTTTTTGGCCCATACTGGCCTGGAACTCACTATGTAGCCCAGGCTGGCCTCTACCTTGTAATCCTCCTGTTTCTACTTCCAGAGTGCTGGCATCACAGGCAGGCACCACCATGCCTGGGTGCATAAATAAAATTTTTAAAGGAAAAAAAAACCCGAAATAATACATTTTTATATATTAGTTGTCCCTACATATCATGTAATACTTTTTCCTACACTTCTTGAATTCATTCTCTTTAATTGGCTTTTCATGTAACAGTGATCTCTATGGAGAAAATAGAAAAGAGAGCTATCTTGTCACTAGCATGATTGATTTGTTTCATATTGCTGATCATTTAGAAAAGTATCCATAGACTTATAACTCACAATTAGTAATGTGCCAACTTTTATTATTGTTAAATTTGGGGGAAACTTCCATCACATAATATATGAGCTGTACTATTTGGAAGATATTCCACAAGCCAGTTTCTTGATCCATTCATTTCTCTTTCATGAGCCACATACATCTGGTCCCAGCCACGTAGGACACATTCATATTGCAATATAACCTCTGGTCCTGCACTTTTTGTCAAAACACTGAATTGACTTAATCCATAACAACAGTATTTATGGAAGCCAGTCATGCTTGGGCATGGCTAGCAACAATTTAACAATACGCAAAAAAGATTATGAGCTACATAAAAATATCCCACTATACCCAAACTGACATATCTCCAACTTAACTTCCTCTTTGCTGACTCTTGATAACGACCAAAGCCAGCCACTCTGCCACCTGACATGTGAGGATCAGTGACAGAATGGTGGTTGCAGGAAAAGAGACAGTGGTTTTGTTCTAATTCAACTCTCTTACTTTTTAGAAATATTATGGAAACATATAACTAAGTGAACACATTGTTATGGACTCTTGTACACCCTCCTCTCTGCCCCCCTCCCCTCCCCAGTGCTCCGGAAGAACTTGGCAAGTGAGGATCCCCAGAGTTTAAGTGTCATTAGCTTTACAGGAAATTAACTATGCTGACACATAGTTCTCAGTAAGTGCCATTGTGACTGCTCCAAAGCACTCTATAGCACTTAGTACCTGCCTGCTTTGCAGCACTTACTGCACTGTTTTTATCTGCACTGTGTCTTCCTCTCCTGCTAGATTATGAAACAAGAGTAGATGCTATGGTTTACTAATCTTTGTGCCAGAGTGCCTGCACACTGCCCGCTTTAAATTCAGTCAACAGTGAACAGTCAAAATATGCTAATGGAGCCGGGCATTGGTGGCTCACGTCGAAGGACCAAGATTTGAAACCAACCAGGCAAACAGTTCGAGAGCCCCTGCCTAGCAAGTGTGAAGCCCTTGAGTTCAAAACCCACTACTACCCCCCCTAAAAAAAAGTGCAGGAGACATGGACTAAATAGGAAAGGTAAGATGCAGAAACCAGTGCTGGAAGGCCAGGGTTAGAGACCTCAGAACTAATGGGAAATGCAAAAGTATATAGGAAGGGGTTTTGAAAAATGCTCAGAATGGGTCCGTTTATGAAAGAGGTCCAAAAAAGGGAAACAGAATGTAGATTGGCAATTACCTGGGACTGGAGGTGGGAATAGGGAGTGATGCAAATGAGCCCAGGAATCTTTTGGGATGTTGGAAATGTTCTTAACTGGTTATGGTGATTGTTGCGTAACTTGTAAATTTGCTAAGAATCATTTGGTTATACATTTTTTTGGCAGTACTGGGGTTTGAACTTAGGGTTTCACACTTTCAAGGCAGACACCATACCACTTGAGCCACACTTCCAGCTTTTTTTGCTCTGGTTGTTTTTGGGAATAGGGTCTCACTTTTTGCCCAGGCCAGCCAGGACCAGGATTTTCCTTTTTTATGCTTCCTGCATTCCTATCCTTGCTGGGATGACAGGTATGTGCCACAACACCCAGCTTTTTTCTGTTGATAAGGGGGTCTCACTTTTTGTCCAGGCTGTCCTGGAACCTCAATCCTCCCAATCTCAGCCTTCCAAGTAGCTAGGATTACAGGCAGGAGCACTCAGCTTGATTACACATTTTTAATGAGTGAAAGAATAGTATGTGAATAATACCTCAATAAAGATTTTCTATAAAATAACTTTTTGAAGATCAGAGACTCAGGTGCAAAGGTGTGTAAGTAGCATTTGTGAACTAGCTCACCAAAAGCCCCCTCCATTGTGGTAAAGTTCTTTGCTCACCAGCAACATCTGTGTGCTAAGTGACTTTATGGGAGCCCCACCAAGCCTCTCTGTTTAATGCCCAGCCCAGAGCTTCTCTCATAGCAGTTTGTTGTCTTTGTCCCTGAGGACAGATTCTGAGCTGCAAAATGAACATTTCCAACCCCCACTTCTAATAAAACTCTTCTTTCATTTGGAGCACCCGTTAAAAGAGGGAAGAGATTCAGGTAAAAGTAATTTACTTTCCCATAGGAACTTTTCATGTGTCACTGTCTGCCCAGGGCAATTGTATTTTGAAACACAAGTGCCCGTTACCAAGGGTGAGTCAGTCTTTACAGTGATGTTCTAAACCAGGCTTGTTTTGTCCCCAGGCAGTGTGTGCCAGTCACTGAAATGAGGAGTGGAAACAGGAGAGCAAGATTCAAATCTGCTTCCAGAGGCTAGGGCTTGAGCATATGGATGGGCTGGGCACAGGAAAAGGGGATTGGACCTTAACTAAGAACCAGTGGAGCAGGCTGGAGGGTTTATTCAGGCATCAACTGTTACTAGGTTTCCTGTGATAAAGTTTTTAGTATCACAGAAATTTCCAGTTCATTTTTTCAATGAGACATCACTATCAGGAGAGTTTGCTTCTTACTGCATTGTTTACCAATTTTGATTCATTACTTCAAGCCTCTTGCAGATTTATAAACTTTTCTCTTTTTTTGGTGGTATTGGGGTTTGAACTTAGCCTCATACTTGCCAGGCAGGCACTCTACCACTGTTTGAGCCACTCTGTCAGTTAGCCTCTTGCAGATTTAGCAAATAAAAATACAGAATGCCCAGTTAAGTAATTTGGTTTAAGTAGATCCCAGATATTTCATTTCTAAGTAAGTGTGTCTCATGTTTGGGACATACACAAAGATGTTGTTTTTCTGAAGTTCATATTAACTGGGTATCCTGTTTTTTATGTAAGAACCCTATTGTAATCAAGCTATGCTGTAGCTTATTTCAGGGTATTCTAAAATAGCTTGTGTTTGTTTACTTATTTTTATTGTTTCTTTGGCTGTTCTGGGGTTTGAACTCAGGGTCTTGTGCTCTACCACTTGAGTCCTCCTGCTTTAGTTATTTTTCAGATAGTGTAGCAGTGAGGAGGGCCAGAAGACAGACAGACAGGCTGTGTTCTGATAATGAGGCAGGGGGAAGGGATGGCAAAGCAGAGAGATAAAACTTAAAAGAACTGAAACATGAAGAAGGTCACATAGCGCTGGGAAAATGAAATAGCCAATGAAGTTCACATGTAGCCACAAGGGGTTGAGCTTTGCTTTTTGCTTCTGTAACCTGCTTGCAAGGGTATATAAAGTGAGACCCCTTTGTTCTCGGCTCAGCCTTTGGACAGGAGTCCGCTGTGTCTATATGAGCACAATAAACGTTACTTCCTGCTAATCTGCCTCAGTGTCCCGCATCTCAGCTAGCAAACTCCCGCGACAATAGGGTCTCAGGCTTTTTGCCACTGGCCTGGGGCAATGATCCTCCTACCTCCACCTTCCCAGGAGCTGGAATTACAAGCGTACACCACCAGGTCGAGCCTTGTTTGTTTTTATAAACAAAAAATCTGCAAGGGAAAGACAACAGCCTTCCTCCAGTTTGGGGAAACACTGACGTTCCATTCTGTGGCTCCTTCCATGAAAACCGTGCTTCCAAAAAAAAAAAAAGCCAGTTCTGCTGTGGGAGAGATATTTGGAGAGCGCGGGTTGGGTCCAGCACATAGTGCCCTGCAAAGCGCGGCAAAAGTGACCGCACCACGCTCACTGGTGACCAGAGGACCCAGGCCACCTCAGGTCCAGGCACATAACCTTCGAGTCACTGGGAGGTGGAACTTTGGCAAACCCCCTTCTTCATTATTCTTTCCCAACTCCCAGAGAGACCCTGCCCGTCTCCAGATCCGGGCCGCCCTTTCCCTGCGCCTCCCTCCCGGTGGGGCTCAGTGGGGCACAAAATACCCCAAACAAGCTGACCAGGCGTGAGTCACCTACAGCGCTTCGATCTAGCAGAGACATCCGCGGGAAGAGACGACGCCCTGCAAACCTCAGGCCAGGAGGACGCGCCACACGGGAGCTTGCTCGCGCCCTTTATTTTTTTGTCGGAGGGGAAAAAAAAAAAAAAGCCCTGCGTGGCGCGGGGTGCGCCCTGCTGAGTGGGGCGGGGTGCGCCCTGCTGAGTGGGGCGGGACACACCCTCCGGCCGCGCGCCCCCAGCCGGCGCGTCCCCGCGGTCTCGCGCACGGAGCCGCGGGCGCAGACGGGAGGCGGCTGCGCGAGAGATGCGCGGCTGACGCCCGGAGCGCGGCGCCGGCGGGGCCAGGAGGATGCTCCCGAGCCGCCTGTGGCGGGGGCGACCCCGACTGCCGCCGACCCCCAGAGCCCTGAGTCCAGCGCGCCCCAGGCCGCCGCGACCGGCGCCCCAGGTGAGGCCAGGTGCGCGGCCTCGCGGCCGGCGCGTGCGAAGTTTGCGTCCCGCAACTTCGGCGGGAGCAGAGTGGCGCGGCCCCACGCGCGGGAGGCCCTACAGGTGGCGGCCGGAACGGGGGCGGGAGGCGGGGAAGGTGGGGCGGGAGGCAACCTCGATGTCCGAGGACAACTTTCCAGACGCGCTGCGCTCGCCGGGAGCGGGGTCGTGACTGTCCTGGGACAGTGACATCCCTGTCCTGGATCCGCGAGCTCCTCCCTTCCCTAGAGGCTTTGTCCCGCTACCCGAGAGTGTGCTGCCCAGTGACAGTTACTCGCCACGAGTGGACCGCGGCTCGGAGGCGCTCGGAGACCCAGGAAGAGCCCAGCGGCCAAGTGCGAGTAACTGGAGGCGGTGGAGCTTGAGCTGTCCAGACCCAGCCGTGAGCAGGCGGCCTGGGAGTTTCAGCTCCCCTCCCCCATTAGGTTCAGATTGTTAACGGGAGACGTATGTGTATATACATATACATGTAACACATCTGTATCATCTTTTAGCTGTGCACTGCGAAGGAAAAGCCAAAAATAAGCAGTACGATTCTCTTGTCACTTTCACTTCCTATCTTTCCTTTTCCTTTTCTGCTTTGGGTTTTTTTGTTTTTCCTCCATTTCAGGGCATCAGCGTTTGGATTGATGCAGGAAATAGTTAAGTACATTTTAAAAATGATTTCCCTGATTGCTTGAAAGCAAATGAAGGCCATTTTGTTACTAATAGTGCAGAAACTGGGCAAACTTATTAAAATGTAAGAAGGTAGACCTTAATAAAGTAATGGGGGAGAGATACTTTTTAAGACTACTTTTATTGCGCTACATTTCGGTAAAAAAACAAACCCCCTTCCCCTTCCCCACCCCCCCCGCTCCCCTCCCCCACTAAACTCAGCATGAGAAACTCCCTTCACCACACACCGTCTAAACACAAGTAATTGGGTTAGGGTTTTTTGTTTGTTTGACTCAGGGTCTCACTATGTAGCCCAGGTTAGCCTTGAACTCTCTATGTAACCCAAGCTGGCTTTGAACCCCAGATCTCCCTGCCTCAGCTCTGGAGTGCTGGGATTATTGAAATGATTGTTTTCTATTTAGCCCTAATAGTTTTGCAGTGCTGGGATAGAACTAAGGGCCTCACAGGGTAGGCATGCACTCTACCACTAAGCTACACCCCTAGCCCTTTAACACATGGAGTAGCATTTTATGGATCCCAGGGCTGGCCACCCTTTCTCAGATTACCAACTCTAAGCCCTTTTCTCTATATTTCCCATCTGATGCCCTATAAGGTGGTGTGCCATTTCATGCCTGCCCCAGCAGGAATTAAAAGAAGTAGGAAACGATACTCATTAGACTTAATAATAGGGGAATGGTGGTTGGGGAATTAACTAGGTTCTATCAGGAAACTGATAGAACTATCCTGGCCCCTTAGGACATTTAGCTAGGACTACTAAACCATTTTCTGCAAATCAGATTACCATTGGGGACATTTTTCATTCTAAGGTTTCACTGCATTGTGGTTATCCCACTTGATATGAAATGTCCTGTGGCTAAAGGTAAGTATTATTCCTATACATCTTTCTGCACAAACATTCAGACCCCTAAAACCTATGAAATCAGCTAGAAAAACAAAAAGTGGTTTGCAAACTGTGAGTGCATAAAATCTTTGCTTGCAAAGACTTGTAAGTAACGTCTCAAACAAGCCTTCCCAGTTATAATTGGTATTTTCTGAAATTATGACTGAGCCTTAAAGAAGCACTGAATAACTTTGAAAAATACACCATTCATACCATTTATATGGTAGGTACATAATTATCTGCCAGTGCATTGTGGGTGGAAAAAAACAGTTTGACATGAATATGTTTAGTGTAGCAGAATTGTTTTTTCAAGAGCACATTTAGTCTGACGCCTAAGAGATCTGGAGCATATTTTATTATCTTTGGCCAAGACATGGCCTGGTGTCCATGGTCACGTCCTGGTGGCAGCACATCTGATGTCAACATGCTGGCTGAGTGGTTGTCAGGGCAATGAGTGGCCCCTGCTGATGTGACTGTGAGCAAGGATGCAGCTTTGAGTAATTACGGTGCTCAGTGAATTATGTCTAAACAGAAAGCTCCTGCCTAGTTGTGCCTGTTTTTTTTTTTTAATTTGGGTTTTCTGCTACTTAGATTAAGACACTCCCTGATGTGATTTCATGCTCCTGAGATAGTATGTGAATCCCCACATAAGCTGTGCTTAAATTTTTCTAATCAGGTGCATTTTGCAGAGAAGCTTAAGTATTGATGCACTTTTTTTTTTTTTAGCTTCTTAAAACATATGGGTGTTTTAAATTCTACCACAAGATGTTAACTTAAAAGTTGTTTTCATCTGTGGGATTTAATGGGCATATTGGCTTTTTTTTTTGATGCTGTTCAACTATTCCACCTCTGGTATTTGCAGTTAGTGCATTGCATTCTGCAATACTGGTCTCGGCACACTCTCCTGGGGAGAGCAAGTGGTTGTGTTGGTGATGATTATTTGCACTAGAGAAAAGGCTTTGATGCTTTGATCTCAGGGTAATTCTAGAACAGTTAAATTAAATACTAAACCTAACCAGCACTTAGGTCTATTCATCCTTTCTTTTTATTGAAATTTTACTTTTTAGTTACTATAATTAAATATTTGTGATGTTTTATAGAAAATTCTAAGCCAAAAAATCATTTTGAATTGTGGCAGATAATTACTTGTTGAAAGAAGTAGCTATGAAACTAAGATCATAAAACCTGAGGCTAAATATTGGTTGATTTAACTAACATCTGTATGAACTAAATGTGGTCAGGCCTGCTACTTTAGTTGATATTAGGCATTTGGGTATCTGAGGGCTAGCCAGCCTGGCTCTGCCACCACCTAGCTCTGTGAATTTAGGTAAGTCTTGCAGTCTACTTAGGCCTATTTTGTTCCCCCTTGCAAAACAAGGGGATTTGTCTAATTGGGCTTTTTTGGTTTTGGTTTTTGTTGGTATTGGGGTTTGGACTGAGAGCTTTATTCTGTCACTTGAACTACACTTCTAGCTCTTTTTCCTCTGATCGTTTTGGAGATAGGATCTTGCTTTTAGCCAAGGCCAGCCTGGTCAGTGAGCCTCCTATTTTAAACTGTCTTCTGTAGCTGGAATGACAGGCATGCACCACCAAGCCCATTTTTTTTTTTCCCTGATGAAATAGGTTCTCACAAACAGTTTTTGCCTGAGCTGGCCTAGAACTGCAGTCCTCCTGATCTCAGCTTCCTGAATATTTTGGAATAACAAGTATGTACCACTGTGCCCAGCTGATGGTTGAGATGGGGGTCTAAAGTATTTTTTTGCCTGGGCTGGCTTTGAACCATGATCCTCCTGATCTTTACCTCCCATATAGCTAGGATTACAGGTGTGAGCCACTAGCACCCCAGCTCCATTTCTAAATTTGCCATTTTGTTATTTTATCATGGGATGTAAATATACCTTTGAACAAAGTATTGTCAATTTCTAAATATTTATTTTAATGATTGAAAATTCTCTTCTATGATCTTAGGCTGTCAGTAGAGTGGCACTTTTACATAGTGGACATAATAATTATTTTTCCTTTTTGTTATCTAGTTTGGATCTTGGATGTTCCCCAAAGGATCATGTGTTAAGGTTTGGTCCCCAGCTGGTGGTGCTGTTGGGAGAGGGTGTCTCTTTTAGGAGATTGGCCCTAGTGAAAGGAAGTTAGGTCCCTGGGTTGTGCTCTTGAAGGGGATATTGGAACCCTGGCCTCTTCTCTGTGCTTCTGGGCTGCCATGTTGTAAACAGACTTCCTCTGCCACATGCTACCTTCACCATCTACTGTTCTGCCACCGGCCCAAAGCAGGGCACAGTGACCATGGATCGAAACCTCTGAAACCATGGGCCAAAATAAACCTTTTCCTCCTTTTCAGTTGATCATCTTAGGTATTTTGTCACTTTAAATGACTTAACACATCTTTCAAAAGAAGTTTAAATATACTTGATGGAGTTAGCATATCCTAATAGAATAGGTTATGTCTCTGATACTTAATTCTATCATTACTAGTGTTTTGGACTATGAACTATGAAATGTTTCATTTTTTTTTCTAAGCACATCTAGCATCAGAACCTTAAAATTACTAAATAATAGACTTCTTAAGTTAACCTACAAGGCAGTAAACCAATAGATAATAAATAACATTGTCACAACCATATTCTAGAATAATCTCTTATCCCATTTAACTAACCAGTATCAATTTTGTTTCTTTTTAACTTACATGGAGGCAATTTATTAATTTGGGGAATCCTCTTCACAGTTGGTTACCACAGTGGCCCCCCCATCCCTCTTCCTGTTGGTGTTGTTGGAGGGGTTGGGGGGGCGACATCTTCTATCACCTGATCTTTGTACCCAAGTGAGCAAGGGTCCTGAGGGCTGACTGGGCCCCAGGTCCTGGGGTCTTAGCCCTGTTTCCTCCAGTGTAGGGCAGTGATGCCCAGTTCCTTGCACCTGGGCAACCAACATGGTGGTATAGGGGAAGAATTCATCTCTTCCAACCTTCACCTTCATTCCATTAGTCACTCAGCACGTGGTTTCCATGCCAGAAGTATCAGCGACATTGAAAAGATGTCACTGAAGGATGCAACGATGTGGCAGACACCAAATACTTTCCTTAGGCCACCAGAGGTCCAGGCAGGTGACCTGTTCTTCCTTCTTTGCCTTCCCTTTGAGAAGTGCCATCTCTGTGTTCTCTCCAGACCCTGCCACCACTCTGCTTTTTAAACAAATACTAACATTCTGCTCTCCAAGTGATATATTCAAACCTTGTGACCTGGAATCCCAAATGTTTGTACTGAATTTTCCAAATTGGGCTACCTTTTAAGAAACAACACTGTGAAATGCTACAGTCAGTTAAAAGGTACCCTTTAAGAGGCACTCAGGGAAGAAATTGCAATGTAGTTTTAATTGGCAGGTTTTTCCTGAGC